TTTTGATACCAGAGATCAAACTCAGGATATTGCACTTGTGAGGCAGGCATGGTGCCACTGAACTAAATTGCAGGCCCACAAAGTTACTTCTTTTTCTATTTACATGGAGTTTATTTATTCAGGATGTATTATAGTGTATGTTATGTCCTAGACTAGTGGTGGCAAACCTATGGTATGCATGCCACAGCTGGCTGTTTGTTGTCATTTAAAGTTTGATAAGGTTCACTCACCCTCACTGTCCTAGACTCTCCTAGAATCTCTTAATACAGCTAGACAGAAAATTTCTCTTCTTGGTTTTGGTTTTTGTTTTTTTTTTCTTCGAGACAGGGTCTCGCTATGTAGTTGAGACTGACCTGGAACTCACTGTGTAGCCCAGGCTGATCTCGAACTCACAGCAATCCTCCTGCCTCAGCCTCCCGAGTGCTGGGATTACAGGCTTACAGGCATGCACCACCACACCCGGCTTAAAATTTCTCTTCTTTATAAAGCATGCTACATTCTGGAAAGACACAAAGGTAAACCAGCAAATGTGTGAGGAGAGGTAGCAGAAAATCACATGAAAAAGAATGAAGTGTGGCAAGGGACTGTACAAGGGTGGTGCTGTGTTTTTGTTATTGGTTTTGTTTTGTATTTATTTATTTTTTGGTACCAGGGATGGAATTCAGGTCCTTGTGCTTGTGAGGCAGGCTGCAGGCAGAACCACTGAGCGAAATCTCTGGCCCTTGGTTTTGTTTTTAATGTGCTCAGAGAAGGAAGGTCATTTCTCCTTTCATGAGCTGTAGAAAGACACAAGGGAGTCAGTGTGGTGTGGTGTAAACACCTATAATCAGCACTTGATGGGGAAGAGGAGAGAGAACTGCAAGTTCAAGCCCAGCAAGAATCTATCAAACAAAACAAAAAGGCTGAGGGATATATCTCAGTGTAAAGGCCGTGAGTTCACCCCATCTCCTGCACACACACAATATGGGGAAATGTTCTTCCAAGCAGAAAATAAATGTTGAGAATATCTACAGTATTTGTGTGATTTTTGTATAGTGCCAAAAAGAGATTATAGCCAAAAAGCCTTGTTTATTGCTTCTAGAAGGCCTGTGTTAGGAATATGAATGTTTACTCATATACAGTGTATATACAAAAATGCAAAAGCTATGTTTGAGAACCCTTTTCAAAATTACTTCTGGTTTATTGTTTCACAGGTACTTTGACATGCATCAATTTTATTGTTTGCCCTGGTTGTAGAATATTACCCAAATAATTAACTGAAGATACTTTTAAAACTTAATTTTGTTGTTTTAGTTTATTGGTTTTTTTTTTTACTTTATATCGTAATCACTTTTCAGAAAAAGCAACAGATTGTAAAACTTTGAAACCGAAAATGTATCCATATTTTTGGCTGATGGTTGGTCTGTCATCTTACAATCAATCCTATTTGAAAACTTTATCTTTACAGCTTTTAAGAGACTTTAATGAAGTTAAAAATCACTAAGCCAATCCTACATACCTTATGAATATTCCTTAGAAATAATTAGTTTAATAAATATTCTTTTTAAATGTGTCTACTTTCATTTTATTAAGAACAGTTCAGAAATTCCATATTCTTTTGAGAACTTTATGCATGATAAATTGATAAACTGAAAAGCTAATTTATATAATTTAAACCTTCAAACTTTGGGGAAAAGAAGCACAGTAATGGGAGCTGGGAATATGATGAGGAAAAATTATGACTTAACAGTTGAGGAGAGACCTCAGTTGGATCAAGGCCCAAAGAGGGTAATTGGTAGATAAAAACTACAATTCTAGCAGGTACAATATTGGTAGTTATGTTCCGTGCTCAGTATGTCAGAGGATTGGAAGCCATCTTAACTTGTTTCTTCCCTAAAGTTTTCAACTCAACCTTTTGGTAAATCAGTGCAAAAATAGTCATTTTTGTAAAATCTTTCCTGGAAAACTTATTCTGTAAAGCTATTATTAAAACTTGAAAATGTGGCATTTTGGTTTTATTAGGTTTTTTTTGTTGTTGTTTGTTTTAACTGCATGATCCAGACTGGCTTGCTGAATTGTCCAAGCTGCTTCAAACTCACTGAGTTGCTGGAGTTGACTTCAAACTTGCCATCCTCCTCCTGCCTCAACCTCCCCCTGAGTATTGGTATTATAGGTCTGCACCATCATGACCAATGAAAATGTGTTTTTTCAGAGGAAGGTATCAGATTTGTCTTTTTTAAATAGTAATTCTGCGGACTACTTCATTTTGGTAGAAACTTAAATTTGCAGAGCTCATGTTTTTCTTTTCTTTTTTGATGCTGAAGATTGAACCTAAGGCCTAATAAGCACTCTACCACTGAGCTGTATCCCAAGTCCCAGAGTTCATGTTATTACCATAATTTGTGTAAAAAAACTAGGTTAAATGTGATTGTGATGATATCAATATTTACACTGTCACAGAAGTTACTCATTTTGTTCTTGTATTCTTACCGATTCACATAAAAAATCGGAATACAAGATAGCATTTAGGTCTTGTGAAGACAGTGACCAGTGAGTGCCATCTGTGTGTGTGTGTGTGTGTGTGTGTGTGTGTGTGTGTGTGTGTGTGTAAATTGTATCAACTTCTTTCCTCTTAATTTTTTGTATTTTAGGCTGAAAGAATATTCTCAGAAGTTAGAAGAATTGAGAATTACAGAGTTGAAGGCATGGAGATCTACTCTACAACACTTTGGCATCTTCAAAAAGATGTTGCTCTATCAGTTCTTTCAAAAGACTTAACAGACATGGATAAAAATTCACCAGAGGTATATTAACAAAGACACTTTGCTTACTTAGTAACTCTTTGAGTAACCTTATCAGATGGCAAATGAATCAGATACAGTCCTATATCATTTAATGAAAGGGATATGTTCTCATAAATGTGTTGTTAGGCAGTTGAGTCATCGTGTAAAACATCATAAAGTATAATTACACAAACTAAGATAACTGTGACATTACAGGTGATATAATCTTATGGGATCTGTTGTTGACTAAAATATCATGACTGTTCAAACACGATTTAGTATCACCTATACTTTTCTCTTTCTGGGCAAGGAACTCAGAAGAAAAGAAAGTCCTAGAATATTGGGTCCAGATTCACACATAAAAATTGAAAAAGCAGATAATTCATTCATGATTGGTCAAGATTTGACTGTATTAAAATTATTGTTACCAAGATTAGTATTCATTAAGAAGAATTTATAAGGATTAAAAGAAGTGCTGATTTTACATTAAAGTAAATTAGTAATTAAAAAAAAATTTTTTTTTGAGACAGGGTCTTACAACTATGTATCCCAGACTGGCCTTAAATTTGCAGTGATCGTCCTGCCTCTGCCTCAGCCTCTCAAGTGCTGGTATTACAGGTGTGTGCCACCAGGCCCAGCATAAATTAGTAATTTTAATTGCTATTTTAAGTTATAGTTACAATTAATTCCCATACTCCAGTTTTGTAAGAATTATATTTCAAGGCATCTCAGAAGTATTTAGTAACATTGGATTTAATGGCACAGATCTATAATCTCAACATTCTGAGAGCCTGAAACAGGAAGATTGCAAGTTCAAGCCCAGCCTGAGTGATTATTTAGCAAGGCAACTCTCTCTCTCAAATAAAATAAAATAAAGTGGCTGTCATGTAGTTCAGAGCAGAAGCCCTAGGTTCAAGGTCTAGTGCCTTCCCCCAAAATGACCGTGGGTACAAGTTAAAGTTCAGCAGTGGAGTGTTTGCCTATTATGCACCTAGTGAGCTCCTAGGTTCTATCCCCAGTACAGTTGGGGGTATTTTTGGGTGGGAGGGGTGTTTGGTTTTTTGTTGTTTTGCTTTATGGCAACGCTGGGACTGAACACGGCTTTGTACTAGGCAATAACTCTACCAGTAAGCCACACCCTAGACTCCCCAGTACAGTTTTTTTAAAAGGAATATTTAGTAATGCTTTTGTAACATATTTAAAGTTAAAATCGGAGCTGGGGATTTAGTTCAGTGGTGCCGCTGCCTTTCTGGCAAGCACCTGAGTTCGACCCTTGGTACCAAAAAAAATAAAAAATAAAGTTAGAATTAAATATAGTCAGTTCTCAGTGTTCTGTGATGCTATAAATGATAACCACCATTTTTCTTAGCAAAATGTATGTATATAAATATCACAGATTATAATCTTAAATCTTAACAATTTATTCTGGTATATTTTATTATCCTTATTTAAGTGAGAAAATGAGATTTAGAAGTATTAAAGTGACTTGCCTAAGGCCACCCTACTAATAGGTGCCAGTGGTGGGATTCCAATTCTTCACTCTCCCGGGAGCTGAGGCTTCCTGTGCTACACTGAGCCTACCCAACCCCAACCCCAACCCCAACCCCCACCACAGTCTCTGGCCTCTGAACATCTTTATAAGAGCTAAGAACCACTCAGCCTTGGTTGAAAATGTGCCTACTTGGCAATCACATGTTGAATTCACAAATGGTCAGAAAAGTATTGCAAATATTGGTTTTGGTTTTAGCAAGTAAGCAGATTTACAAATACAGAATCCATGAATAATGAGCATGGGCTGTTTACTAAAGCTGTTCAGTTTTTGTCTTTCTGTTCTAAGTGAGGTCTGAGCCTTGATTTTAATCATAGATTTGTTTTGTGAGAAAAGATACAAGTTTTAATTATTTTTTGTTTTTATCTTTTTAAGGCCTGGTGTGCTGCAGGGAATTGTTTCAGTCTGCAACGGGAACATGATATTGCAATTAAATTCTTCCAGAGAGCTATCCAGGTTGATCCAAATTATGCTTATGCCTATACTCTATTAGGGCATGAGTTTGTGTTAACTGAAGAACTAGACAAAGCATTAGCTTGTTTTCGAAATGCTATCAGAGTAAATCCTAGACATTATAATGCATGGTAAGTGCTAGTGAAATGCAAAGACAAAGTCTCATCAAGGGCTTATTTTAACAATGGAGATACCTAATAAGAAAAATTTCAGAATACCTGATCTATATTTTCAATTGTTTATATATTACTCTTAATGCATTATATCTCATTTTAAAATAGTTACATTGCTGGAAAGATGGCCAAAAATTAGATAAAAAGCCGGTTTTTGCTGACGGATGAAACAGCCAAAATTGCCTGTACTACCTTCCTTCCAACAGATGGAAGTTCTTTGTAATATTTTAAGAACTTGGTTCTTTAAAAAATAATAACAATAATAATAAATAAATAAACATATACACACACACACACACACACACATATACATACATACATACATACTTACTCCCAGATGAATATAATTATGATCTATGGTAATTAAGAAAAAATAGCCAAGCAGGATGGCGCACACCTGTAATCTCAGTACTCAGGAGGCTGAGGCAGGAGAATCACTGGAGTTTGAAGCCAGCCTGGGCCACATAGTGAAACCCTTTCTGGAAAAAAACAAAAGACAGGGTTTGCATTTGATATATTAAATACTGTCTTTTTTTCTCCTTGCCTCTATATCTTCCTGTTCATCTTTTATCAAATTGAATCTACAAGTTAATTTTTTAAAAAGAACTCAGTTCTTAATAGGATTTATCTTTCTTCTTAAATATGTTAGATCTATTATATTTTGCATTAGTTACATTCTTTTTTTGAGACAGGGTCTTGCCAGATGTGGTCCAGGCTGGCCTCAAACTCAAACTGCTACCTTAGGTGTGCACCACCCCACCCAGGTAATCAATTTTTTAAGAACTCTGCTATATCAAAAATTGTGTTACGGCCAGGCACTATGGTGTACACCTGTAATCCTAGCTTCTTCAGAGGCTGAGTCAGGAATATAATTTTGAGACCAGCCTAGGCAACTTAGTACAGCCCTGTCTTAAAATTAAAAAAAAATAAATAAATAAGGCTGGGGATATAGCTCAATAGTAGAGCACCCCTGGTTTCAATCTCCGTTATCACATACAAGCACACACACACACCCATAGACATGCACACACAAAGAGAAAATTGTATTATAAGGAGGACTAGTCTGTGAAGCTTTTACTGGGAAGAATTTAAATGCTGAATTACTTGGATAACATTAAGTATCTAGCTAAACACTAGTAAATTTAGTAGAATTCCAAAGTCAAAAAAAAAAAAAAAAAGAAAAGAAAAGCAGCCGGGCGTGGTGGCACACGCCTGTAATCCCAGCACTCGGGAGGATGAGACAGGAGAATTGTTGTGAGTTGAGACCAGCCTGGGCTACATAGTGAGTTCCAGGTCATTCTCAACTACATAGTGAGACCCTATCTCAAAAAAACAAAAGAAAAAATAACCTTTCTTTCATCATTTCTACCTTTGCTATCTTTAGTACAGTCTTTATACCTTTTCTTTACATATAGCACCACTGTAATGATTAACAAAGCTGCTGAAATAAGTAGAATGTGCTTTATTTCATATCCATTTGGTGCTTTTTCCTTATTATCTCTTTCTGGCCAAAAGAGATCTTTTTATGTAAACTTACATACTGTATTCAGTTGACACTTTGAGAATTCTTAAGAAATGCCTGATACACTATTATATAACCTTTAACAGTTATAAACAATTATAAGTCTATAAACATAGAACATGCTTTTGATATGGTAAATAGGAAGGAAAGCTGTAGATAGGTGCCATTATGTATCCTATAATTATAATGATATAAATTTTTATATGCATATGCACTCGGGCAAAATGAACTGAACGTTGTTAGGAGTTCAAGGTTCAGAGTCATAAACAGCTAAAATCCTTATTCATATAATTTTAATCAAATTATGTAACTTTGCTGAGCCTCAGTTTCCTAATTTGAAAGTGGGAATAATAACAGAACCTGCCTTCTTGACTCTCCCTAGGATTAAATGAAATAATTCAGATAAGAATTTAGCAGAGCCAAGGACACCTGTACAGGTGCACACCTGTAGTCTCAGGCTGAGGCAGGAGGATCAGTTGAGCCCAGGAGTTCAAGACTAGCCTGGGCAACGTAGCAAAACTATCTAAAGAATTCAACAGAGTTCTTGGCACACACATAATAATCACTCATTAGAAATTAGATACTGAATTATGGTAGTAGTTTAAGGATTTGGTTTCTTTTTTCTCCATTATCATAATTTTATTTGATTAATTTGACTTGTTTTTACTTAACAGCAATATCTTGGGCTGGGGATTTAGCTCAGTGGTTCGGTGGCCTGCCTTGCAAGCGCAAGGACCCGAGTTCAAGCCCCGGTACAAAAAAAAAAAAAAAACAAAAAACAATATCTCTTCTAAAATGGTTTAGTAAAAATAAAGTAAAATCTTTCAGTAATGTTCACCATGACTGATACTTTTTGCCCCCCTTAGGAGGCCATCAGTATTTTTCCACTGGCTTATTAAAATGCCAGATACCATGCATAGTTCATTATTAATTGAACTAAACTAGCAGCCAAAAGTTGTAAATTTAATAATATACTGTCTTTTATACTTTCAGGTATGGTTTAGGAATGATTTATTACAAGCAAGAAAAATTCAGCCTTGCAGAAATGCATTTTCAGAAAGCACTTGATATCAATCCTCAAAGTTCAGTTTTACTTTGCCACATTGGAGTAGTAAGTAACTTTCTAAAATTACTGATCTGTTATCTCCCTTTTAAAATATATTTATTAGCCAGGTGTGATGGCACGTGCTTGTAATCCCAGAGCCTGGGAGGCTGAGTGAAGAGAATTGCCACAAGTTCAAGGCCAGCCTGGGCTACATAGTGAGTTCAATACCAGCCTGAATTACGTAGTAAGACCCGGTCTCAAAAAATCAAAATAAATCTAAATAAATACATTTGTTAATTGCTATAACGAAAATCATGGCTTTTTGCTATTGTTATTAGAACAGTATTCCAAGAGTCTTTCACAGCCTAAAACACTTTTTTGGCTCAGCATAAAGAAGTATTACTTGTGTGTTCTTATCCCTTGGGCAAATCATTTAGCTTTCCAGAACTGTTTATGAATGATAAGAAATAACTGTCTTGTCTACCTCACAGGATTGTTATGACTCGAATGAGATTTGGGGTGCAGGGGTCAAACCCTGGGCTTCCTGCATGCTAGAAGATCACTGTGTTGCTTTTGGCCTTTTTATTAAGATCAAGTGTAGAAGAGCACTGTATAACTGAGTCCCAACTCCTTTCCCCTGTTTTTTAAATAAGTCCCTAAAGTAGGTGAAGGTATCGTTGTTCTGAGTGATACAGGTTTATCAACAGGTTCTTTAACAAAGTTTTGAAGAACCTAATATTTATAGGACCATAAATGTGGAAATGTGTTATCTGTCTAAATGATACACATTTTTCTTGTAAAGGGAAAACCAAGTTTTGCTTATGTTTTAGATTTAAAGTACCTAAATACCTGCTCTAAAGATAGAACTGTGATTATCATTATGGACACATAATGATGAATTGGTAACTAGAGCACCAAGGTTTTCATTCCAAATCATATTATTTAGAATCTCTGGACTCTAGTGTTTTTCTTGGAAAAGATTTAATCTATTAGTCATTTGATGATTAATTACAAAGTCCACTTAACCCAGTGGACAATGCAAGTAGGCCATGCAACTTCTTTTAATAGTTCTGTTACCTTTATATTGGTTTTCAGTCACATTACTGTATTCTCACCTTTATTCATAAATATGAAGAGGAAGCATTAATAAGATTTTTATTTCTTTCAGGTTCAACACGCACTGAAAAAATCTGAGAAGGCTTTGGATACCCTAAACAAAGCCATTGTTATTGATCCCAAGAACCCTCTATGCAAATTTCACAGAGCCTCAGTTTTATTTGCAAATGAAAAATATAAGGTAATGTATGTGTCTCAATTGTCTTCCACACTGTATTGTTTTGTGTCCCTTTTAATAACTAAAAATTTCTTGTACTTTAAATTTTTGATCTGAAAGTTCATTTTCTCCATTTTTAAAAAGGGTTAATTTCATTTTCTTTTGTGATTTTATTTCTTTGTGAAATACTCATAGGAAAGATGGGTGTGTAACTATCTTGAAATATGTGGTTATCTCTTGTAAAGACTCTATATATAGAAAGACAGGGAGTTATTTTAAGATCTAAACCATCCTCTTAGGATCAAAATAAGTGAATAGGTGACAAATTAATATCTGTGCATTATTCAAACAAATATTTATTGACTACACGTATAGTTCAGTGATAGAGTGCTTGCCTAGCATATGTAAGCCTTGGACTTGATTGCCAATAAAAACCAGAAAAAAGGAGAGAAAATTTTCTTGAGTACCTAATGTGTCAGGCACCAGGAATTTAGTAGCTATGTGATCACATTTCTTGCCATTCCTTTTTTCAATGGTGGTGGTGGGGATCAAACCCAAGGCCTTACACATGAGAGGCAAGCACTGTCGTGTGTAAATGAGAAATGTGTGTAAATGCGCACACAATATTTTTTTAATAATACACATATATTACTCCCCAAGAGGAAGAATAGGTAGTGAGCAAATAATCAAAGAAGTAATAAAAATATTCTCACTATGTTAAGCACATATAGTGTGTTACACAAACTTATACAAGAAGACTAGATATACTCTATGTTTTTTTCTTTCACTCTTTTCTGTAGCTTGATAAGAGTATTGAGAAAAGAACATAAGGAAAACTGAATAAGAAAAAAGAAACATACAGTAACATGAGATCTTATTATAATTTTATTTAATTATAAACCATGAATCCAAGGGGTAGGGATTTAGCTCAGTGCTACACAAGCACAATGTCCTGAGTTCAATCTTCAGTTCCAAAAAATAAATAAACCATGAATCTGTAATTTATTATTTAAATTTCAGGTTTCTGTATTAATAAATTCAAACTCTTTCTAAAAAAGAATAAAATCTACTATAGAAATAAGCAAAACTGAAGTACAGTACTCAGAAACTTGGGCCAAATTATTGTTGTAGTAGATTGTTTTTCTAGGTGCCTAAATAAATAAATCAGTTCTTTCTCTAGAAATATATTCTTCCCATACACATTGATATTTGCTAAAATTTAAAAGTACCAAACTGGGGCTGGGGATTTAGCTCAGTGGTTTCGTCACCTGCCTTGGAAATGCAAGGACCCGAGTTCAATCCCTGGTACCAAAAATAAATAAATAAATAAAATAAAATAAAAGTACCAAACTAGTTATGACCTGACTTTTTTGATGACTACTGAAGATCTATAGAAGGATTAAATATATAGTTTTTGTTTGTTTGTTTGTTTTTATTTTGTCGTTTATTCAGTAGTTCTAGTTATTATCCCCTGCTTCCCCGAACCTCCAGTACTGGATATTAAACCCAGGTCCTTCACACTGAGCTACATCCCCAATCTTATTTTAATTTTTATTTTGACGTAGGATCTTGCTGAGTTGCTGAACTAGAACTTCTAATCCTTCTGCCTCAGCCTCCCAAGTGTTGGGATTATAATTCTGCACCACTATGCCTAATAATCACTTTCTAAATTTTAGCTTTTTTAAAATTTTGTTTTTTTGAGACATGGTCTCACTATTTAGTTCCAGCTAACCTTAAATGCACTGCGGCCCAGGCTGGCCTCAAACTTGTAGCATTCCTTCTGCCTCAGCCTCTCAAGTGCTGAGATCACAGACATGTACCACCACACCCAGCTTAATTTATTCTTTGAGGTCCTATACTTATTTTCATGGGTTTATATTATCGTATTACTTTAAATATGTAGTCACTTTCTTTAATTGAAAGATTCTACTCAATTTATTAACACCATTTTAATACCACCATATCTACAAGACATGCCAAGCAATTGAGCCTTAGACTTGCTTCAAGAAGCTCATGTTCTAAACTCAGTATCATGGCACATACCTGTAATTCCAGCACTCAGGAAGCTGAGGCTGGAAGATTCAAGGCCAGCTTGGCTACATCGTGAATTTAAGTCAACTATGGCAACTATATAGCCAAAAAAAAGTCCATGTTTTAGTCTGATCAGTTGTCTGTGCTATGAAACATAAGGTACAAACATTTTGGGATATGAATCTGATGTGTGGATAAATATGAGTTTGAGGTCTAAGTTGAAGACTGTTATAGGAAGGACCTTTAAAAGTTACTGATTGTTTATAAAATGTCCTAGAATAGAAATCAAGTGGTATAAAAGTGCCACTTCATGCTGGGGACATTGGTGCATGCCTGTAATCCCAATACTTTGGGAGGCTGAGGCAGAAGGATTAGCCAGGAGTTCACTGCAAGCCTGGGCTACCTAGTGAAACTTTGTCTCAAAAAAAAAAAAGGTTGCCACTTCACCCACTCTGTGCCCAAAGCATTTCTAGCCAGCACCCTGTTTACTGTGTTCTACTGATATCTAATCGTTTAAGTCTTAAGACTTTTAGGGCAAAAGTAAAAACTTTGATGCTATATTGGATACTAGTTCTTAATGAGTCTTTGTAGTTAAATGACCAGAAGTAGGGAGATGCATGATAGTTACATAAAATTTTGGTAAAAATTATAGTCATAGAAAAGAACACATAACAATTCTCTGTTGTGTGTATTGTTAGCCGTGAAGAATTGCAATGTGTCATACTGATTAAACAGTGATGATTTTCACAGTGTGGACTGTGAACTTCCTAGAGTCTGCAAACGTATTTAAGGACTCCAGAAAGTCAAAACTACTTTCATAAAAATACCTAGATATTAGCCGGGCATGGTGGCATAAGTCTGTACTACTAGACGTGGGAGGCTAAGGCTGGAGGATCACCTATGTAGCCAGCTTGAGATACATAGTAAGTTCAAGGTCAGCCTGAACTACATAGGAAAACTTTGTCTCAAAAAAACCAAACCAAAACAAAAATATCTAGGTGTTGCTTACCTGTTTCACTTTTATCTATCATGGACAGACAGTGGGATTTGCCAAAAGTTACATGACAGTGTATCGTAGCAGATTGAATATCTTCTATCAGAGATTTACATAAAAGGTTTTTTTTAAGTCTGCAATCTTAGCTACTCAGTAGGCAGAGACAGGAGGATCACAGTTGGGAGGCCAGTTGCACAATTTACCTAGACTCTGTCTCAAAATAAAAATTTTGAAAGGTGCTAGGTATATAACTCATTTGCAGAGCACTTGACCCTGGGCTCTGCCCCCAGCATCACCAAAAGGGAAAGTTAAACATCACTACACTTCTCACTAATTTTCTGTTCTAAAAAGTTTCAGTCATTATTCACTAAAAATATATTATTTATTTTAGCATGTAGGGCTGGGGATTTGGCTCAGTGGTTCTGCTGCCTGCCTTGCAAGCTCAAGGATCGGAGTTTGATCCCCGATATATATATATGTGCATACATGCACATAAATATGTATACACACACACACACACTACATAAAAGGTTTTTTTTAAGTCTGCAATCTTAGCTACTCAGTAGGCAGAGACAGGAGGATCACAGTTGGGAGGCCAGTTGCACAATTTACCTAGACTCTGTCTCAAAATAAAAATTTTGAAAGGTGCTAGGTATATAACTCATTTGCAGAGCACTTGACCCTGGGCTCTGCCCCCAGCATCACCAAAAGGGAAAGTTAAACATCACTACACTTCTCACTAATTTTCTGTTCTAAAAAGTTTCAGTCATTATTCACTAAAAATATATTATTTATTTTAGCATGTAGGGCTGGGGATTTGGCTCAGTGGTTCTGCTGCCTGCCTTGCAAGCTCAAGGATCGGAGTTTGATCCCCGATATATATATATGTGCATACATGCACATAAATATGTACACACACACACATATACACATACACATATAGGCATGTAATAGGTTTGTTTTAAATTAGTAATATTTTCAAATCTTGTCACTTTTAATTTCTGATAAGTGTGATAGATATAACCCATATTAACAATTGGGTTATATTGGGTTCCTTGGTAAACTTTAAGAACATCCTGGAGAGATGTGGTGGTGTATGACTGCAGTCCCAGCTGCTTTGGAGGCTGAGGCAAGAGAATCACTGGAGCTCACAAGTTTGAAACTAGCCCAGGCAACATAGCAAGACCCTGTCTAAAAAAGCAACAAAAAAAAAAAAATATAAATGTCCTGGTACATCTGGTATCATGAGTTGTTTTTTTTGTGTGTGCAGTTTTTGTTTTGTTTTGTTTTGTTATGTTAATTCTGACTAAAAAGTATGAGAAATTCTGCCTAAAGTATCAAAATCAGTTTTAGGCCTCTTTGTTGTGAAACACATTTCATCAGAATTTCATAATATTTGTAGGTATAACTCAAGGTCTTAAATAGTTAATATCCATGATCATGCATCTTTTATTTTGATAACCATTCCATAGATATTCTACATTATTTAATATTATGGAAAGAAGGAACAAATCTACCATAGAAAATTATCATTTGTAATAAACTTTTTTATTCCTTAACAAATAGGTTTGATTCTCAAACATCCAACCTGTCATTTGCTTTGAGTTTCTTTCATGTTGCCAGCGGTTGGAAAGGGGATGAGAGGTGTTCAGGATGCCCTAGATTGTCCACGTACATGTTAGCTTAGAAGACATAGCTTTCCCACCACCAGCACTGTTACTGAGAATTGATGAAACCCAGGGCTTTCCCACCGAGCTACATCTCTAGCCTGTTTGGGTTTGGGATTGGGGTTGGAGTTGGTTTGGTTTGGTTTTGTATTAATTGCAAAGGCTGGGCTCAAACTTGCAATCCTCCTAAAAATATGGAAACAAAGTCTTTGTAAATAGAGAGGGGTGAAAGGGTTGAAGGGGGGAATGCAGGGGAATGGGGAAAAAATAAAAACCAAGCTACATCGTTTAAAGATACAAGTTCCCAATGATAAATGTCATTGTATTGTATAACTAAAATGTACCAATAAACTTAATGAAAAAAAAAAAAGCAAAAATAAAACTTGCAATCCTCCTACCTCAGACTCCCAGAGTTGCTGGGATTACAGTTGTGCACCACTGTATTTCTGTTCTTTATCCTTATACTCTTTCTAAGAAATTAAAACTAAAGTTTTAAGCATTGTGTCACATTCTTGTAATCTCATTACTTGGGAGTTGAAGCAGGAGGGTTACAAGTTACAGGATATCGAGAGCTACATAGTAAGACTGTCTCAAAAATAAAAATATATATGTACACATACACATATGTACATACATACGTACATATGTAAAAAGAAATCAGTAGAAACAGCTGATTGATTGCTTGCCTGGCATATGTAAGATCCAAGATTCAATCCCCAGTATTCTTAGAAAAAAAAGACAAATAATCTCTGTGGACATGAGAATAAAGTAAAATATTCATAAGAATAGAAAATTCAAAAAGTAGAGAATATTACCAAATGAAAAATAAAAGGCTCCATATGTGGCCTGGACCCTCTCCCATTGTCACTCATTCCCTCCCTGTAGATTAAAACATTCTTACCTCATTTGGAGGCATATATGTGCCAGGGGCAAAAATGCATACATTCACATAAATGTATTTTGTAAATACTTTATATAAACCCACTTAAGTGTATTATGTGTATGGGGTGTTGTGTATGGTTTGACACATGGACGCAGAACTTACACCTTGTTTTTGTTTTTTGTAAACGACAGTTTTAACACCTATAGATAGACCTATTACTCCATGAAAAACGGACCAGGATTTATTTAACTAGGCTGAAGTTAGATACCATGATGTAGTGTTTTACAATAAAAATGATGTTAGGCTGAATGTTCTTAAACTGTATGATGACTTGGTGCCAAGCATGCTAGCACACACCGGCAATCCCAACTGGAAAAGCTACTTCAGAATAAGAAAGGGGATGGACCTCCCAAAAAAGGAGAGGGGGTAGGGATGTGGCTCAGCTCAAAATCCCTGTGTTCAATGTGCAGGACAAATAAATAAGTAAATCTGTAAGTCTGATAGTATAGCTCAGTGGTAGAGTGTCCCTAGGTTCCATCCCTAGTACTGCAATGAAAAGGTAGGGGGGTGACTTGGTGAATTTTTTCTTTTCTTTTCTTTTTTAGTATATCCCTAAGAAAGATTCTTTATAGTGGGATTGCTGAATCTCTGGTTACAGGCAGATTTTAACTTGTTAAAAATTGTCCTTATAAGGTGGGCATGGTGGCATACACCTATAATCCCAGCACTGGAGAGGCTGAGGCAGGAGGATTGCCAGGAGTAGTTACAGAGTAATTTCTAGGCCAGCCTAGACTATATAGCGAGTGAGACCTTGCTCCAAAAAAAAAAAAATTATCTTCACAAACAGGTTGCATTATCTTAACACTGCCACTGAGAGTATTTCCTCTTGTTTGTGCTAACTTATGTCACATAAAATTGTTTTCATTTTTGTTCATTTACTAGGTGAAAAATGAGATAGTATCTTACTTGGGGGATCCAAGGTGGGTAGGTTTGTTGGTTTGTTGGGTTGTGAAACAGAGTCTTGATGTATCTTGGGCTGGTCTTGAACTCACTGTGTAGCCTAGGCTCACCTTGAATTCACAGAAATACTTCTGCCTCAGCCTGTCAGGCTGCACATAGGACTACAGGCATTCATCACCAGGCCTGGCATGCAGTGAGGTTATTAATGTTAACTACACTTGTAACAAAAACAAGGGTTGTTACCGCCTGCTTCTTTCACAAAGTAGTATGTGTATGTGTGTTAAATGTACTCTGGTGAATCCTGCCAGTTCCTAGTTCTGTTGTCACATAGTGTTTTTGTATATTTTATTTTAATAAGAATTAATGCAATATAGAAGCACATGAATTAAGATCTAGTAAGCTTTAATTAGGATGCTTTGGAAAACACTTGATTAGTTGAAATTTTGTAAATTTTTACTACTCTAAGGTTTTTCTTTGCCTTTTTCAGTCTGCTTTACAAGAACTTGAAGAATTGAAACAGATTGTTCCCAAAGAATCTCTTGTTTACTTCTTAATAGGAAAGGTAAAGATTTGGGTCATGATCCTACACTGTTAACTTTCATAACAAATACTAACTTTTAAAGAATAAATATAATATTTATTTTATGTTTATTAAGCAAATTTAACAGAGTGCTCCAAGAATAATGGATTTAGTTCTATTGTTGCATTTAAGAAGATGATACCCTAAAGAAGGAGCAAAACACACCCCATAATCTGAACCTTGCTGTGCTATTTAAAGTAGATTAGCATTTGCAGCCCCAGGCCAGCAGTGAGCTCATAACTGGACTACCTCCTAGAAAGCCCTTAACTTCCAATTCTCAATAAAATATTTATAAATCACTCAGAAGAGAATCAGTAGCACTGTGTTGTCTTAATTAGAGGAAATTGCTTCTAAGATTGCCAAGGACAAGACTGGTCAGGATTTTACAGACTTGGCCCCCTAACGTGCTGGGTACCATGGCCAAGTATTAAAAGAGTTGCGGTAATCCCATTAAAATCAGTGTAAATGAATGTTCATCAAGCAGCTTTTATATTCCATTTTTTCCATTGTTCATATTCTGCTCAGTGAAATTTATTAAAAACTCACTACCTAAAAGAAGCAAGCATTTTGAAAATAATATCTGATTATATTTAAAAAGAACTGTAAAACTAGTATGAGTTTATTGGTAAGACGAAAATTTCCTACCCATCAGAATTAATTTAGAACTCTTAAATCAGGAGCCTAATTTATAGTATAAATTTTTAGGATTTTTATAGCTGAAGTTCACAACTTAATGAAAAATGTAGTGCTGCTGTTTATTTTTAGGTTTACAAGAAGTTAGGTCAAACGCACCTCGCCCTGATGAATTTCTCTTGGGCTATGGATTTAGACCCTAAAGGAGCCAATAACCAGATTAAGGAGGCAATCGATAAGCGCTATCTTCCAGATGATGAGGAACCTATAACCCAAGAAGAACAGATCAGTGAGTATTGTATGTAGGGTTTTGAGTATTCAGAAAGCTAACTTCCTAAGAGTTTGTGGGCTGCTTTTTTACTTTTTCTAGCTCTGGTATTTTCTTTATATCAAATGGAATTTTAGAGAAATTGAATAGGGTGATGTAATATCTAAGTGCAAATAGAGTCAGGTAATAGTTACTTATTCAAACTCAAATTGAGCATTGGATTAGTCAGAGTCACAGTAGACTAGATCCAGAACTGAGACTAATAAATAAATGCTTAATAAATAATAATAAACTTGTTACATTTTGAAGCCTTGACAGATCTGTAGTAGTAGTTGTTCAAAGTCTGCATCACTGAGACATCCAAAATCCAAACATGCTTAATGTAAATATAAATTTAGGGGGTCAAGGGAAGAGAGCAAAGAATTATATTTTAAAGCAGTTCATACTTTATCTCTAAATTGAGTGTATATTTTCAAATAACTAATAAGAACCAAGACTTAATGTATCCATAATTTAATAGGAGAATTGAGAAATTTATGATCATATAAATTCTTATTATATGCCCTTGTTGCAGAGAATTTGGTGAAAGACTTAAAACTATCAGTCCAGCTAAGTGTAGTAGTGTACACCTGTAATCCCAGCACTCAGGAGCCTGAGACAGGAGGATTGCTGAGTCCAGTGCCAGCCTGATCTACATAGTCAGTTGAAGGCCAGCCTGAACTACATGAGACCTTGCCTCCTTCCCAAAGAAAAGGAAAACTATCAATCCTATAGTCCAATAATCCTTTGTAAACTAAAGATTGGATCCTATATTTCTGTGAACTAGCAAAGATCATTTACAAAGTGGATATTTGTGGGTTAAAGGAAATGTTAGGTTTTTGGTCTCAGAGAACTATTTCTTAATTTTTAGGGAAGAATAAGGAATTGATTCGGGAGACAGTTTTAGCAGTTGAAAACCTTAAAGGTTAAATACAATGAATTAATTTCAGTCATGCTGTACAATAAGGAATTGCATTTTATTAAGGGATATTTGAATCTGGGAGTGGTGGTGACCACCCATAATCCAGGATTGCTGCACTTTTAAAGCCAGCCTGGACTACAAATGAGTTCAAGGCCAGCTTGAACTATATAGCGAGACCCTGTCTCAAAACAAAAAAAGAGAATATTAGAATTTTTGATGGACTTTATTTAGGATTATTCTGAATATAATGTGCTTTTTTAATATAGTATTTGTGGGTTTTTTTTTTTCATGAAGCAACAAGATGTATTTATCAGACATCTTACTGTAGACTTTTGTTTCATTTTTAAAGTGGGAACAGATGAATCCCAGGAGAGCAGCATGACAGATGCAGACGACACACAACTTCATGCAGCTGAAAGTGATGAATTTTGACTTCTGGAAATCAGACTTTGACGACTGGACATGTAACCAGTGCTGATGTGTCCTTGTCCCTCCGTACGCTGAGTCTTCACTCTTGAGCCGGCAGTATCACCATTTGTCACACCATGAGTGTGCCACTTTCATGGGACCCCGACTGTACAGAGAATGAAAGGCAGTGCAATATTTAGCTGCTAACAAGACTGGCTCTTTTACCAGTATGAATGACAGTTTAGGGGGGTAGGGTGGGAACTTGCTTTTTTCTTTAATCTCTTTTAGTTGCAAAGCTATCATGAGAGGAAGAGTTATGTTTTATCTTGAAGGAACCTTTAGATATGGAAAATACTGATGAACCAGCTTGGTCATTTTTCCAGAAAATTGTTTTTATTTGGTTCTGTTCTTGATAAACAGAGTGACCTACCTTCATGTGTAGGTTCTTCAAGAATGGTGTTAGCAAGTGCCAGATGGAACAATAAAAGACATTGCCTATAACAGAATAACTTGATTGCCAAGGAATGTAAATTACCTTAAACTCAGAGTGTCTCCTGTGAACAAATATAATGGGCATAGTCTGATCATATGTAGGAATCAGATCTCCTTCCATACAGTGTACATTTACTCTTGGCAAGAATGCTTTAATATCTTACCAAGAATTTTAACTTTTTCATCTTGCTGCAAAGTGTTGATCACTGTTGTCTTGGTATTACAGTTTCAAATTGGTCCCTACCATATTGTCTATTCTCTCTGAATTCTGTGGGATCACCTTTAACATTCAGAGATTATAGAGTGACTCCCCACTGAAAAGCCAAAATAACGCCCTTAATAACCACTTAGAGTCACCATCAGTATGGTAGCATTACAGAGAGACTTTAAGAGATCATGATAGCGGAAGCCTTAATACAATCAAAATTGTACCATCACCTCAAATCTACATTTGTTCACGACAGTATCCCTTTTGACTTCTGAATGTTTAAACAGAGTGCAAGGTGTGCTTACCTTTGTTGAGGTTATTTCCATTCTTTTCACCTCTGTGCTTCTGGTTACTTTGAATAATCCGAGTCATCAGAACTTTTAATGAGAGTAATTGAGTGTAGGATATTAGAGATTTTTAGCTTGGGGGAGAAAAATTCATTTGAAGGAGACAGGTTCTCTCTTGAGATCATTATAATATAGGTTGATGTCTTTGGGAAATGGCCACAATTTTAAAGATCTAATTATGCATATAAAATGGGAATTATTGAAATGTCACAATAACAGATTTAAACAGTCTTAAATTGTGTATCTCCTTTACTGTAATGTATTTAAAATTTTAGAGAAACTTTAGTTGCTAACATTTTATTAAGTGCCAATATCAATATAATGAATTATACTTTCTTATGAATGACAGGCCTACAGTTATTATTTTGGATTATTTGATGAAGGACAAACTTACCTACTGGTTACCTGTACTTGTTAGTCAAGCTGTGAAAATATGGTGGATTACAAAAGATGTGAAAAAAAATTTAGCCTTAGACTCAATATTTTTCTGTCATTTACTGTTAATCTCACCAAACATGGACTAGATACCATTATAAATCAATTCAAGTCAGTCTTTGATTAGGTATTAGGTACCAGAGAGACATTTAACAAAATTTCCTAAATCTATGTTTATGTGCTGTCTAAAAAGTAATAATAATTTATAAAGAAAAGGAAAAGCTGGGAATAAGTTTATACCATTAAAAATTCCCAAAGGCTAGCACTTGGATTCTAACAAATATTCCATTTTATTATCCATTAGTTCTGTAATGTTTAATTTTTTTATTCTTTTATTTTTTTAATTAACAAATCATAAGCCAGCTATATAACACTTACCAGATCCAGAATTTCATAAAAAGTTTCAACCTGAGTTCTGTATTATAAAACCTGGAGAAAGCTAACCTAAGAATGTAATTTGCTGATGTATAGTTATCTTTTTGTAGTAGAAATTTATGTCCTGTGCCAGTGAGACTTTCTGGTACTGATTCTGAGACCAAGGATAAAAAGATGGCACAGCATGGCAAGGGCCGGCTGAAGGACTCTCGGCCCACACTTGGCCTGATTTATTTTTCCCTTGTAACTACATTTGAAATAATTTACTTATTGTAAGCTTTATTTCTCACCTAGTAATTTCTTGCTTTTTTTTTTCTTTTCTTTTTCCCCCCTTTTTCTTCTCTCTCTCTCTTTTTTTTTTTTTTTTTTTTTTTTTTTGCATCAAACAGGGATCAGAAAACAAGAAACACATTTTGGTCAGGCAAGTTTGCTTCATATTTCAGAAGATACTTTGAAGGAAATTGAAGACGCTATATGTACTTTGATATCTTTTTTCTGTTTAAGCTTTTCACACAAAACACACAAACATGCATACATGCTTTGGGTCAGAAGTTATGGCATTGAATTTTTCCCCCCATGGAAAAATTATTACTCTGGGATTTTAGAAGGTTGAATTATTTTTTCAAGAAAACAATGGTATTCAAAAATAATGAAAGGTGGCCCCTATTTTCTGTATTACATTACTTTAAATTTTTTATTTTTTCCAAAAACTGCAAGTAACGTTTTAAACCATGCTGCTGTTGTATCTTAAACAAAAACTCAGTGATAACCAGTATTTAGTCTATTAAAAATACTTTTTTGGAAGAAAACAGTTTCAAAGTCTCTGATTAGTCAGAATATAGTATGGGTCTTCACTAAGAAAAACAGTGACTCGTTTTCTTTGTGAAAACCTGGGAAAATGCAAGTGTGGGTATGATGTGTGTGTGTTCTATTTGCATTGAAACAATGTAATTTTGTGTCTTTTTGCTTTTCCTGACTTATTTCAGAAATTGTACAGTCTTGGGGGGGCTTTTCTGTTAATATATTTGCAATTCATTAAAGAATATGGAAAATCCAAATAAATTACTTTTGAAAGCAATTTATAATCAAGTTGTTAAAGCTATATCAGATCTGTGCCGTCTGTATTTTTTTATAGTAAGGCACAGTAGAATAGTAGTGAAAGATTACAATTTTATGTTCTACAAAAATCTAGGGCGGTAATTCTCTAATTTTTTATTTACACCCTCATATTTTTTTTAAAAGTTCATACACCTTTTTAGTATTATTTGGAATTTCAAAATAAATATGACAAAAAACAGTGGCAAGTTTTAGAATATATTTTATTCAAACTATAGAAACTCCTTATCAATAGCTACAACTTAGTAAATTAAATGCTTGCTCTTTGTGTGATTTCTGAAATTCTTCTGAAGTGGACACAAAGCTGGGCACAGTCCAATAGGATCAGCAGTTCCGGGCCAGCCAGGTGTGGTGATGCACACTTGTAACCCCACACTCAAGGAGGCTGAGGCAAGAGAGTAACAAATTCAGGCCTAGTTGGGGATTTAGCTCAGTGGTTCTGCTGCCTGTCTCGCAAGCACAAGGTCCTGAGTTTGATTTCCCAGTACCAAAAACAAAGAACAAATTCAAGCCCCGCCTGGGCAACTTAGCAATAAGACCCTGGGTTCAGTCACCAGTCCTAGGAAAAAGAAAAACTTTGTGGCCACCCTGGGCAACTCAGCTGGACTCTGCCTCAACGTAATAAAAAGAGCAGGGGGAAATGCAGATGTGGGTAGTACAGTGGTAGAGCACCCCATTTCAATTAAAATCTGTTTTAAAAATCAACACTTAGGGCTGGGGATTTAGCTCAGTGGTGCCGTCACCTGCCTTGCAAGATCAAGGACCCAAGTTTGATCCCCAGTACCAAATAAAAAAATCAAGACTTGGGGTCCAGGGACTTAGCTCAGTGGTACCACGCCTGCCTTGCAAGCACGAGGTCCTGAGTTTGATCCCTGGTACCTAAAAAATTAAAAAAAAAAAAATCAAGACTTGGAGGAAGTAAAAAATAGAAGTTAAATTTTACTTGTGTGAAGTTTTTGCTTATTTTTTGGTATCTTGGAGAAAAATGTGGAGAATCTAGAGGGTTTTATTTATACTGGATAAAGACAACTCAGACTTCACAGCCTTCTAAGAACTGTTTATCATCAGCTAAACAAAGATACAGAAGGTTAGATGTGAGATTATTCTTTGGCTTATTTAGCTGCTAATTCATGGTTCATGGAAGCTCAATATAGTTTTAAAGAGACTACTTTATTTGTACTTTGTTTATGTTTGTTAAATAGCTATGTTTAATGAGATCTTGTTCAGTATACTGTTACTTCCTTCGTGAAAAATATTTTCCATCGAAACAACCTGTAAGGTAGGTGTTACTCCATTTTAACAAGCAGGAAAACCGAGATTCTGTTATTAAATGATAGTTGGGCACTTGTAGCATTACTGTTTGTTGGAAACCTTGTATTTAGTTTTGAAATGTCCTCTGGATATTTCAAATTATGTCTAGTATTAACTGTTAAGTGTCCTCTCTAGATTCACTTGTTTATTTTGGTTTTTTGAGACAGCGTCTCACCAAGTAGTCCAGGCCACCCTTGAATTTGCTATGTACCCCAGGCTAGCCTTAAACTCAATACTCCTGACTCAGCTTCCTGAGTGCTGGAATAACAGGTGTGCTCCACCTCCCACATCATTTAGCATTTTAAAATACTCCGCTAGTAGACTAGTATCATACAAGCTTTTATTATTAATCATACATTTCAGTGTATCACATTCATTTGATGAGGCTTTGATCTCTCTCCTGCTTCTTTACTGTTTTTGTTTTTTGAGACAGTCGCTATGCAGTGCAGGCTGGCCTTGAAATCACTATGTAGAACTCAAAGTAATCCTCCTGCCTCAGCCTCCTGAGTATGGAAATTACAGGCATGCACCACGACGTCTAGATTTGCTTTAACTCTTCACTATAATTGGAAGTGTATCTTCAGTCTTTGTTTTAAGTATTTGAGACAGGGTTTCTCACTATGTAGCTCAGGCTGGTTTTGAGCTGTGTATCCCAGGCTGGCCTCAAACTCTCATTCTTCCTGCTGCAGCTTCCCAAGTGCTGGGATTGTGGGTGGGCACCACCACACCTAGCTTGAACTCAACTCTTCAATAAGTGAAGTTTGATATCAAGGAACAAGATGGGATCAGTGGTTAGAAACTTAGCAAGAGAAATGGTAAGGAGAAGGATTTCTGATTCAGCTGACTTGATGGGATTATTGCTGATTATTATTATGGGTAGTTAAGATATCAAGAGCGGGGTTATTTTTCTTAAAACTGATTTAGTAAGATTCTTGCTCAAATGGGATTTCACGAGGACAGAGGCCCAAGATTGGGCTAGTTAGAAAGTACTCAGGAGTTTGATCAAAGTTTTGGTCCATGGACAACACACACACACACACACACACACACACACACTTAAACTCTATATAGCCCAGACTGGCCTTGAATTACAGTGATCCTCCCAACGGCTAGAATTAGAGGCATGCACAAACATGCCCAGGAAAATGGGCAAAATTTTGCAAATGTGATAAGGTAGAATGTAAGTTTGGGGCTGAAGTCTGTATATGAAGAGAAAATTGAAAGCTTTAAGAATGCATAATGTAGCTGGGTATGGTGGTTCACTCCATGGTAGAAAAGCATTCTGCCACTGAGCTATGTCCCCAGCCCTAAGTTTTAAAAGTAGGTAATGCTCCACTGAAGAACAATAGAACTAAGATCTATCTCTTTTTCCTTTTCTTTCCTCTCCTGTCTTTCCTTCCTTCTTCCTTTCCAGGGCTGAGTATGGCACCCAGGAACTCACACATTCTAGGTGAGTGCTGTACTATTCATCTATGCCCCCAGTGATTTAGAACCAGAGGTTAGACTGGCCTGCAGGCCGAGTGGGGCCCTGCTGTTCCATGTTTTTCGAACACAGTCCTGCCCATTTGTTTGCCTATTGCCTAAGGCTTTTAACTCACTTCAGTGAGAATTGAGTTGTCACAGATACGCTGTACAAAGCCTTAGTAGTTATTTCGTGTTTTTTTAGAAAATATCTTGCAACCCCTGATCTAAAACTTACAGTTGGATTGGCATAACCATTTTTCAATCACTCAAAGAACATATTGCCTGAAGTGTTAAGAATGTTCTCAATACTTTGTCAATTAATACATCACTGAGTGAGGTGAAACACAAGAAACAGTTCTGCAGGTTTTCCGTGACCAGTTTAGATAAGGATTTATCTAGAGTTGAACACAGATTTTGTTGGCAAACAAGGAAAGGCTGTGGGCTGGGCAGTCAAGAGCACCTGCCATTCTGCTAGAGCAGAGTCATTGCTTGTATTCAACCAGTAAACTTTCTTATGTTATCTTCAAATAATGTTAAATCATTTTTAATCTGTGTGTAAAATATTTCATTTCTTTTTTTCCTTTTCTGCTATGCCAGGAATCATCAATATATTGAATTATAGCAGCCATCATAACAAACATTAATTATCTTATTCCCAATCTTAAAGAAAATCCTTAATTTTCTCATTTGACCTTTACTGTCAGTTGGATTTTATGGAAAGATGTTTATTACAGTATGTTACCTTTGATAATACCATTCTCATTTGCAGCACCTGCACTTCAACTACCATTTATAACTACTGATTATATCACTTAAGATACCTCCTTTCTACTGCTAGTTTTCATCATGACTAGGTACTGAAATGTATCTGTTAAGCATGTTAAGATCTCTGGAGCTGGAGAACAATACCATTAGCCTAATTATGAATCTGTCCCTCACCCTCCTAGAACCATAAAAAAAAAAGTAAAACAAAAATTATACAGGGCTTGTGCTTTCATTACTAGAAAACTATAACTTCAGATTACCTAAAAGTAGCAAAAACATTCCCAGCAAGAGTTCTACCACCGTGGGTCTGTGGTAAGGCAAGGAAAGAAGGTTGTAGCACTGTGTGAGACAGAGGAGAATGGAGTAAAGGATTTAGAGGAAGTACAAATCAGATCTCCAGAAAGAGCTAAGGGTTTAGCTCTGGTTCTGCTGCCTGCCTCGCAAGCGCAAGGTCCTGATTCCAATCCCTGGTACCATCTCCAGAAAGAAAAAAATGAAGCAACAAATGCAATATTATGAGTCATTACTTTTTGTAAACTGATCTTGTATTCAACTAGTAAACTTCCTTATTTGTAGATTTTTCTGTTTAAACTTTTTTTTTTTTTTTTTTTTTTTGATACCGGGGATCAAACTCGGGTCCTTGTGCTTGCAAGGCAGGCAGCAGAACCACTGGGCTAAATCCCTGGCCCTAGATTTTCTGTTTAA